CGCAAACGGTCGCATTCCGTCGTGAGTTCGGTAGTCCGTCGGTATCCGTCGCAAAAAATCCGTCGCATATCCGTCGCATTTCCGTCGCAATTATCAAGAATATAACCCCGCGCATGTCACCACCATCAAGCAACCGAAAAATAATCCTCCCCGAAAAATAACCCTCCCCAAACGAAAAAAAACCCAAAAAAATGTCTTTCAATGTAAGGAGATGGATGTATGAAAGAATAGATCCATATACAAATCAAATATGCAAAGATTTTGAAGAAGGATTGCAAGCGTTTATGACGTTTGTTACATCTCAACCGTCATATATCGAAGGGTCGAAACTTCCATGTCCGTGTGTGAAGTGTGAAAATACGAAATGGCAGTATATTCAACAAGTGTGGAATCATCTATATCGAAGAGGGTTCATGTCCAATTATTTTGTTTGGCTAGCTCACGGAGAAACAGTGGACACGACGTCTTCATATGGTGCAGTTAATCAAGTCATTATCGATGAGCAGCGAAACGAATTTCAACAAGGAGAAAGAAATCCGTATTCAGAAATGGTGTTTGATGCGTTTCCAAATGTCGGTCAACCGTCTTACGGGGAGGAAGAGCCAAATTCCGAGGCTAAAAGGTTCTACGAGATCCTTAATACATCGAGCACTCCAATATATGAAGGATGCAGTGAAGGTCTATCGAGATTGTCGTTGTCGTCACAATTGATGAACATGAAGACTGATTACAATATTCCGGAGAAATGTATGGACGGATTTAGTCAGATGTTCAAACAATATCTACCAGAAGGTAATACTGCAACAGAATCGTATTATGAGACGAAGAGTCTGATGCGGAAGTTGGGGCTACCGTATAAAAAGATTGATGTTTGCGAAAACAACTGCATGATTTTTTGGAAGGATGACGAAGGATTGATGCAATGTCGGTTCTGTGGGAAGGATCGGTATCGGCCACGACGAAAAGCATCCAAAAAAGGCAAGTTGATTCCATTGAAAAGAATGTTTTATATGCCTATTACAGATCGATTGAAGAGATTATATCAGTCTGAGAAAACCGCATCACATATGAGGTGGCACGATGAACATTGTACTCCAGATGGGGAAATGCATCATCCATCAGACGGGTTAGCATGGAAACATTTCCAACAGGTATTTCCTGATTTTGCTCAAGAGGCTAGAAATGTTTATCTAGCGTTATGCACAGATGGGTTTAATCCATTTGGAATGTCGGGTCGGAACTACTCTGTATGGCCGGTGATTCTAACACCGTACAATCTACCACCCGGAATGTGCATGAGTAGAGAGTTTTTGTTCCTCTCAGTACTGGTTCCAGGACCTACACATCCTAGAAGAAGTTTAGACGTGTTTCTTCAACCGTTGATAGAAGAGTTGAATGAGTTGTGGAGTGTAGGTGTCACTGCATACGATGTGTCGGTGAGACAGAATTTTTTGCTTCGAGCAGTTCTTTTATGGACGATTAGTGATTTTCCAGCTTACTCTATGTTGTCAGGTTGGACAACACATGGTCGTCTAGCGTGTCCATATTGCATGGATGAAACTGATGCATTTTGGTTGCAGCACGAACGAAAAATGAGTTGGTTTGATAGCCATCGGCGTTTTCTACCAAGAAATCACGTGTTACGACGCAACAAGAAGAATTTTCGAACAAATATAGTTGTTGTTGATTCTGCGCCACTTGAACATACCGGGAATGAAATTTTACTTGAACGAATCGAAGAATGTGTTCGGTCACATGGATTATCTACTACATCAGTGGTTGGTGGTAACGGTCATTTACCGATTGAAGGATATGGTGATTATCACAACTGGCATAAGAAGAGTATATTTTGGGAATTGCCATATTGGAGACATCATAAATTACGACACAATCTTGATGTTATGCATATCGAAAAGAATTTTTTCGATAACATCATTAATACAGTGTTGAACGTTGCTCAGAAAACAAAAGACAATATCAACTCAAGGAAGGATATAGAGTTGATTTGTTCGAGGAAGGATTTGGTACTTACACCTGATGGCAAGGCGCCGGTACCAATTTTCCGTGTGTTTGGAGAAGCGAAGATGAACTTTTTTAGATGGTTACAGGAAGATGTGAAATTTCCTGATGGTTACTCGTCAAATATTTCACGATGTGTTGACCTCGGACGAAAAAAGTTAACAGGTATGAAGAGTCAT